GGGATTTGGGAGATTTGGGATTTGGGAGATTTGGGATTTGGGAGATTTGGGATTTGGGAGATTTGGGATTTGGGAGATTTGGGATTTGGGAGATTTGGGATTTGGGAGATTTGGGATTTGGGAGATTTGGGATTTGGGAGATTTGGGATTTGGGGGAGTTGGGGAATTTGGGAGTTGGGGAATTTGGGATTTGGGAGATTTGGGAGTTGAGAGATTTGGGATTTGGGAGATTTGGGAGTTGGGGAATTTGGGAGTTGGGGAATTTGGGAGTTGGGGAATTTGGGATTTGGGTGATTTGGGATTTGGGAGATTTGGGAGTTGGGGAATTTAGGGATTTGAAAATTTTGGGGATTTCAGGATTTCGGGAATTTAGAATTTTGAAATATTAGGGCTTGGGAAATTTAGAATTTTGAGATTTTTGGATTTGGGGACTTTAGGGCTTTGGGATTTTGGAGTTTTGAAGCTTTAAGACTTTGGCATTTTTTAATTTTTTAAAATTCTGAAACATTAGGATTTTTTAGTTATAGGATTTTAAGACTTTATGGTCTTGGAATTTTGAGCCCATAGGGTTTTGAAATTTTAAGCTTCTGAAACTTTGGGATTATGACATTTTAGGATTCTGAGATTGGAATTGTGAGACTTTATGGTTTTGCATTATTGATATTTTGGCACTTATCATAATTTTGAAGTTTTGAGATTTTTGAAGAGTGCCAATTTTAGAATTTAGAAAATCGAAGTCTTAGGAAATTTATACATTTTGAAATTTTTAAGATTTATCATTTTGCAATATATGAAGTTTGAGAATTTCATTAAAAAATTTGCAAATGTAGAAATTTTAAGAACTAGAAGGCATAAAATTAAAAAATTTAGAAAATTGACAGCTCTAAAGTTTGAAAATTCTAAATTTAAAACTTGAACCTTCCAATTTACTGTAATTTTGAAATTTTGAAATACTATGAGATACCCCATAAAAACGCCATTACAGAACTCCCCTTTGAAACGCCATTACAGAACGTTATAATGTTAATTATAAAATAAATCGAACAGGAAACAAGTCTCTCCATGAACCCTCAACTTCACCAACTCGGTAACACTAACCCGTTGAATCTAATTAAATCCCCTAACATAATAAATGAAAATTATTTCAGCGGCTGCTCATTGAACGGTTAATAATGCAGAATCATTATAAATTTATGAAACGTGAAGTCGAAAGTTGCAATAAAACATAATAGGTGTATCGCGAGACCGTCGAAACAAATTATAATTACAAATTGCAGTGGTTGAATGAGATCTGACAAAGGAAATATTATTTTGCATGTTTGAGCGCACAGTAAATACGGGTCCTCCGTTATTTGCCAATAAATTACGAAATAATCGTAAACATTTCCGAAACGGTGTCGATTTGAAAGCAGTTGGTTATTCGAGTAGAACGTTTGTAATCTAAGTGATGGCGGACCTTTATTACTGTGTGAACAGTGAAATAACAGGAAATACGGTGTGTTGTGCATTATTACGCAACAATTTGCAAGCATATATGGGCCACCGTGGTTAATATCCGAAGCGTTTCGATCGCACGGTGATATACAGGAACGTTTCACCGTTTGCAACGTGTTTTCGATATTAATCGCTGCATCGTTTGCGCTCTATTTTTATACACGAACGATCTGTAATGCATGCGACCTGTAATTTTAACGATTTGCGTTTGATATAACTGCATTATATTCCTTGCAATCATTTAATACACGTTCCAGGAATTATATTAATTGTCGTAAAGTTTTGCTAATTGGATGATGGATGAATAACTATATTTGGGAGTTGGAGAGTGCAAATTTTCTAGGGGGTTTACTAGAGGAAAGATGGTGAGTGAAGTATGGACTGATTTTTAGGGATTTTAGATTTGGGTATTTGGAGATGGGTTCGGGATTTGGGGATTTGGGGATTTTGGGATTTTGAGATTTTGGGGTTTGGGGATTTGGGGATTTCGGGATTTCGGGATTTCGGGATTTTAGGAATTGAGGAATTTGAGATTTGGAGAATTTGGGGTTTTGCGAATTGGGGATTTGAGGAATTTGGAATTTGGGGAATTTGAGATTTGGGGAATTTGGGATTTGGGGAATTTGGGATTTGGGGAATTTGGAATTTGGGGAATTTGAGATTTGGGGAATTTGGGATTTGGGGAATTGGGAATTTAGTCAATTTAGGATTTGGATGATGTGGAATTTGGAGAATTTGAAATTTGGGGGATTTGGAATTTGGGGAATTTGGGGAATTTGAGATTTGGGGAATTGGGAATTTAGGCAATTTAGGATTTGGGTGATTTGGAATTTGGAGAATTTGAAATTTGGGGGATTTGGAATTTGGGGAATTTGGGGAATTTGAGATTTGGGGAATTGGGAATTTAGGCAATTTAGGATTTGGGTGATTTGGAATTTGGAGAATTTGAAATTTGGGGGATTTGGAATTTGGGGAATTTGGGAAATTTGGGGAATTTGGGATTTGGGGAATTGGGAATTTGGAAGATACGAAATTTGGAGAATTTGGAATTTGGGAAATTTGAAATTTGGGAAATTTGGAATTTGGGGAATTTGGAATTTGGGGAATTTGGAATTTGGGAAATTGGGAATTTGGGAGATGTGAAATTTGGAGAATTTGGAATTTGGGGAATTTGGAATTTGGGGACTTGGGACTTTAGAATTCTGAAACTTTAGAATTTTGAAATTTCTAAATTTTGAGACTATAAGGTTTTGTAATTTTATGATTTCAGAATTTGGGAAATTTAGGATTTGAAGATGTATTGATAGAATATAGGAATTTAAGGGACGTAGGACGTTGGTAATACATATAGGGATTTGGAAATCTGGAAATTGAAAATTTTAGAAATTTGAAGACATAAGAAATAGACCTAGGAACTTAACCTAGAAGTTTGAGGACATAAAAATGCATAAACCTAGAAATTTGAAGACATAGTAATTTAGAAATATAAGTTTCTTGTGCACCTTGAAATTTGGAAATCTAGGAATTTGACTCCTTAGAAATTTGAAGATATAGGAATTTATAAACCTAATAACCTCGAAACGTAAAAATTTGGAAGTGTAAGTAGTTAAGTACTTATAAAGTATATGTAGTTAAAAACCTTGATACTTAGAAGTCTAGGAATTTACCTAAAAATCTGCCGACCTAAAAATTTATGAACCCAAAGATTTCAAAACATAGAAATGTAGTAATATACTTCCACATCTTTAAATTTGAAGATCCAAAAATTTGTAAACATAATTTCAAAGCATAGGAACTTAAGAACCCAAATGTCCATTAACCTTGTCATATGAAAATCTAGGAATTTGATTACCCAGAAATTTGAACCGTAGAATACATGAATCTAAATGTCTCCTACCATAAGAATTTAAGCAAGACGTATTTTGAAATCTAAGAATATGGAAATTTATTAGCTAATAAAAGTATGTAATTAATTTCTTTGCGAAATACGTTCCATTTCGTCACAGCTCATGAAACATAACCTTGGGTCAAAATTGACCCGACGTTGGCTGAAATGAAGTAGTCAAACACTAACGTTAGATTCTAATTTAACATTTCTACGCCTACAGCTATTTCTGATTGTTCGGAAACGTGTACCAATGGACTTCATAATAAATCAACCCACGCACGTGATTTTATGATTAGAATAATTGCTCGAACTAAAAACACGACCTTGTCGTTGCTGCGTAAATTCTTGAGTCATCTGTTTAATGTTACGAGACTTATAAAGACAATTACACGATGACCATACCTGGTTAAGAAAGCGCGGGAAATTTAAAAACCTTAGTCATGCAGAATGACCTTGATCTTTGCGTTAGTTATCAAGATCACTTGAATAGCCTTCCGAAGGTTGTAGCTGTGGTTCGTGATTTATTTAAAACTAATTTAAAACGCCTGACAGGTAAAACAGCTAACCTTCATATAACATAGCTAACATAATTTAAATTGTATTTCTAATTTAAATAAAAATAAATAGAATGATAAAATTACGCATTGCATTCTACCTCAGTTGCTTTCATTAGTGTTAACAATATTTTAAACAGTATTATACATATGGTTAAATAACAAGATATCGATAATCGATAACAGCACCTCAACCTCGTCAGGTTACAAATTATTTACGCATAGCCTATTGGAAAAAGTTTAGAAGATTAATAACAGATGAAAAGTATGGACCCTGTAATAAAGAAGATACAACAAAAATGTAGTGGAAAATTATTAGCAAAGGAACAACATTAAATACAATTTATTTTCATTGACCAGTACGCAATAACAATAAAGTTGATAAAGAGAAGTATATAATGTATTGACCACGTGCGAACCTAATAATATAAAACTGGATGTAAAAATATAAAATATATATTGATCACGCGCCAGCCTGACATTATAAAACTGAATATAAAAATAAAGTACGAACACTAACGTTCCTACCTTAAAGAATATACGATATTGCTTTTCGCACTTATCTCGCGCAAAATATGTTTCGATGTACACAATTCTAAAATGATAAAAATTCTATGCATTCTATTTCCCGCGTAGTCAAAACTATTTGCACAAGTATGCATACAATTTCTTCACCGCGCTAATCACGTGCGCTAGAAAGTAAAAAAGAAGAAATAGACTCTAGAAATTTCTTTTGACATTCGCATCTACACCCACGCTGTCAATTACCGCTATATTAAATTCTATAATCGTTCTTATCGCATGTATCTTTCGTTATCAGGAAATCGCGAATTAACACGAACCGCCACGAAGTGGTTCTCGTGCGTCCCTCGACAGAAATCGTCAATTTCCGTCGGGTTCCGGCTCCCGTAGGACGCCGTCGGTTTCTGGCTCCGCGATACGAATGTTCAAACACTCGTCGAACGTCGCGCAAGCAACGTGTGTACAAGAGTCGGTTGTCAGAAAGATCGAATCAGAATCGCTTTAATACTACACGTGCATACGTATTTGGTAGTAACTCTTACCTCATCGATTGTGGTTGTCTGGTGGTCAAGCCGTTTCTTAGTCAGCTCCTCATTCTTCCTCTCTTCATCTCCTTAATAGCCAGCATTGTAGCCATGTGCACGCGAACGTGGCCGCTCCGCACGACGATCACCGCCATGACACAAGAATCCCCGTTCCCGTGGCGGGAGACTGGTAAACGAACATTTCACGATCTCACCGATACACGCGCGACGTTCAACGGGCTTGTGTTTTGGCAACCGGCAACAGGTCGCGTTAGTCACTGTTTAATGACACGCGTCGGTCTTGTTATTGTTTATTGTTCGTTCACTACACGCAGCTGCCGAGCGTCAGCGTCGGTTCAGCGCTGATCGCGTCGCGTCGGTCCCGCGTCGCGATTGCTCTATTTCGGTCCTCTCAGGTAACAGAGGAGAGACAGCGCGGTCTGACTCGGACGAATGCTTGGCGACACTATTAACGAAGCTTAAAGAGAACGACCACTCTCAAAACCGGCAGATAGAAAAGGAGAAACGAGCCGGGAAATCGAGAAAGAGTAAGTACAAAAGAGACGAGAAACACGAGACTCCGAGCCAACGGCTACCATTATAAATAGTTGCGGCAGCTAGCGATGGGAGTAATACCCTCGCGTCCGCTAGGTGGTACAACTGTGCATGCCGCCAATTTCTACCGACTTTGAATCAAACTTTACGCGCGAATCGCGTAACTTTACTTAATGTAATAATTTTCATAGTGAAACTAGACTTTTCTGGTGAGACATGTTAATTATTTTATCACCTTGGTTCTTTCAAACTTAATTTGCCTTACAATATAGTGTCACATTCGTGATGCTCATATGCAATAAACTATGTTCATATGCAATAAACCAGACTCGTCGCTGTAATTAAATTTTGTATTCAACTTTAATTACAATTTTCATGATTAGGGATTGTTAAATACAAAACATGCCTAACTTTTTAAGTTCCTTTATTTGTCTTCACGTTACAACAATATTTAGTTAGTGAATGACACAACTGAATAGAAAATTGTACATTAAGTTTAAGATTTTAAATTGACATATTCTACTGCGAACTGTACTTAACTACTTGAGGATAAAACAATCTATGCACATGAAAATATGAATGTATAAATATTAAATTTAAAAGAATATTCAATCTAAAAGCCTAGAGATATTCGAATCTATGAATATTAGAATATAAATAAATTTATTTCTAGAAATTGAATTATTCTTTAATAAAATTATTTTTTGGGAGTTTGGGAATGTTCGATATCGTATCGTAGCCATCGCTGCCGAGTGAATCAGAAGGAGATTAACGAAGAAGAGAGAGGAAGACAGAAGACGTCGACGGAAGTATGCGCGTATGAAAGAGAAAGACAGAAACGGAAAGCCGTTTCTCTCATTTGCTCCATCTTCATGCTTTGCGTCATTATTCCGTCACAAAGACCTGACATGAATGTTAATAGGTGGCAAACCTGTCATGCGAATTTACGTGATTTTTTCGTTCGGTTAAAAATAATCAATTTTGAGTTTCTTTCAGATTTGATGAATCAAAACTTTGAATATGTTTAACGGTATTACTTACTGTTTGCTGGATATTTGTATATTGTTTATACAAATATTGTATACTTTATTTATTTGTAAAATGTAACTTCAAATCACACTTGTTTGCACATTATTTCCTTGTATTGTATGATGAAGTACATTTGAAGTGAATAATGATTCGGACAGTGCATTCGTAAAATTTTTAAAATAATTTTGAATTTTATTTTAATGTACAAATAGAGTAATTTTTCATGATACGAAATCAAAAGATCATTCAGTTTGCTATAGTTTTATAGTTCTATAAAATAGTTTTTCTTTGAAAATAAAATTGATTTTGTATAAATAATAAATGTTATAAAAGAAGTTTAATTTAAAAGATTAAATGTTACACATAATAAATAAATTATAGTAAAATAGTTTATTGGAATATAATTGCATTATTATGTAATATATTAGGTATTTATAATGACTGCATTTATTTTAACAGGGGAAAGATATAATAAATATAGTACTCACTGATTGTTGATTTATGCCACTAGCACCCTTCATGCATGTTGAAGTTGACCCAGAATTGCTCCCTAATTGATCATTCTCTCTCACATCACTCACCGTGTAATTCAGATAAAGTACTCTTCCGCCCATAATCATCTAAAAGAGTAACTTCCAACAATTTGACCTCCTTAAACAATAAAAAGTACGCGAATTTCGTACATCTCTTAAAACTTACGTTTTATGTACAATTATCAAATAAAATATATGCTCAAGCAAAGTATGTAAATACACGTTTTGATTTAAAAATAAAGCAAGTAATTTTTACTAAAAATTTTGTATTTTATTCTACATAAAAATCCTCATACACCTCTCCCTAACATTCTAATAAATCTCCATCAAATAACCTACCTTCCTATGACTGTAAATTTAGTACAACATTAAAAACCATACCTGAGAAAAAGACCTATAATTCAAAGATATTTTTCGAGGGAAAATTTACACGACAGCTATTAAGTGAAAATTTCGTGTTATTTTAAGGACAGTTTATTGGCAACATTCGCTACTTTGAACCTGTTTATAAATTCTGGCTCAATTCCGAATAATCATAGTTGTTAGGTAAACGCGAAATGATCGTAAATTATTATATATACAGTAGATTCTCGTTATATTGGCGTGGTCAGGTCTGTTATACCAAGAAATTCTTGAATTTGGTAAAATTTTAGATTATCAAGTTTTTTAGTTTGATATTGAGATATTTCCGGTGATATAACACGTGGTGCACTGTGTGGTGTCTTGACACCCAGCGATATAACGCGTGGTGATACTTTGTGTAGTAATACCACGCGTGAGGATCTAATACGTGGCCTTATAACGCGTAGGTATGTAGTATGTGATGATGTTAAGGCGTTGCAATATTAACGCGTGGCGAAATAACACGTGGTGATACTAACACGTGATAGACTAATGCGTAACGATACTAATGCACGGTGACATAACGCGTGGCTATACAACACGTGACAATATTAATACATAGAAATACTAACGCGTGGCGATATAACACGTAGTAATACTAACATACGACAGTGTAATGAATTGCAATACAGCGCGTGGCGATACAACGCATGGTCTAACTCTTAACGTTCTTTAATTAATAAATCCATTAAAAATTTGGTTTCTTGAAAAAATTATTTGTATACTTACAAATGATCCATTGACTTGTTGGTAGAAAAAGATACTGAACAGCGAACAAACGAAAATTAATCTTCTATCAACGTGTCCGATAAGAACGAAGATTTTAGAATTCGACTATCAAGCATAAAAAGGATATTTCATATTATAAATGAAATAAACTCTCTACAATTCATGAGATTCTTATAATATTCCACTTTATTGTCGACAAAATCGTTCAGAGCAGAAGTAAGAAAATCAAACAGAATAATCGTTAAGCAAATTCGAATGAATGTAAACCGTCAGAATATTTTTACGAAAGCCGTACTTTTTTCCAACATAGAGTCCAACATTTACAACAAGGATTAACATTTCTCTTACACGTAAGAAATCGAGGAGCTTCTCCCAGGGGATAAGACAGGTTTCCTTTCGAAATCTTATACGATAAACCGTTTTATTTTAATAATGTGTGTGCGTGTATTTTGTACAATATAATAATAATAATAATAATAGTAGCAATAGAAGTAGTAGAATAATAGTAGTAGAAGTAGTAATAGCAGTGGTTGAACAGCCGAGAAGTGGTAACAGCTTGTATTATCCAGCCGGAATGCTCGCCATTATAGATTTGCATGTTCGCGGGGAAATGTAAAAGAGACGCGGACATCCGGTTTCTATACGTCTGCCCCTCGTGACCATTATTTCGATGTCGCGTGAAGCTCGAAACGGACAGCCAACTATAACGACGAGATTCTGGTACAATGGCGGGGCCATTGTTGCTCTCTGCTGTCGCCACGGCTACACATATACGTATGTTCGATGGTACGAAGGATGTTTCGAGATTGTTTGATGATCGATCGATTGAATCTGTGGTTAGGTGCCGATTTAACGGAAAAAAGATTCTATTCTTCTTCCTCCTCTTCCTCCTCTTCTTCTTCCTCCTCCTCTTCCTCTTCCTCCTCTTCCTCTTCTTCTTCCTCCTCTTCACCACCGCCACCTTCTTTCTTGTCTTCTTCCTCCTCCTCCTCTTCCTCCTCCTCTTCTTCCTCCTCTTCTTCGTCGAACGTTGGCTCCTCCAATTCTTCGTCCTCAGCCGCAGCCTTCACGTCTTCTTCGCCTTCCGGTGACTCGGGGTCTCCAGGTTTCTTGCCTGGCCTCTCGCCGAACCATTTCGGCAACTTCGCTGTTCGTGCAAACAAAATGGACGTTAATTAACGGCACTCCACATTTCGGTGGCTTTGTCCAGACGACTGCGAGGATTTCCAAAGCGACTTGTACAGAGAAGTCTTTAGGCTAGCGTTTCAAACCTTCGCTAGTGGTGGGAAGTTTTGTTCGTATTCACGAAATTAAATACAAAAGCCTTTGTATTCTATGACTAAATTTGACAATTTCTTAATTTTAGATTTGTTAATTCAAAGATTTGTAGGTGCAATAAATTTTAACTGTAAGTTTGAAAATTTTAGAACTTACAAGTTTGTGAAGTTGAAAATTTAAAGGCTAAGTTTATAAATCTACATGTTTAAATTTATAAGTCTGCAATATCTAATGCATTATGAATGTCTAAATTTGAAATGTGATGTGCTTGAAAATCTTCTCCAAGAAAAGAGCCAAAACTCCAACACCATTTTTCCTAAACGTAACACGCTCTATACCGGCGAATTATTCAAAAGTATGTATCCAGATTCCAGTTCGCAACATCCCACCACTATCCTCAACAAAGAATGAAGACGAAGAGCTCGACGCGCTTTCAATTTCGTAAAAAGTCTTCTCCTCGCTTTTCGTCGGACAGGATTCCTCGATACTGGTAAAATATACTTCTCCCTGGGACCGTTGCAGTTTGTCCTAGTTTCCGGAAGAACATTCCGCCGTTGGTCGAGTTTCAAGACTCGGGTTTCGAGCAAATGCATACGATACGGTAAAGCAATAAACTAGCGTGAAACAGAAGAGGAATGCTTTTTACATACTTTCGTGCGTTCCGAATGGTTTAACGAGAGAAAATATCACGTTTGAAGAGTTATTTAATCAACAAAGATGTTTTTCGACACGTTACATTTACGGTGTATGCATTTGCCCGGTAACGGTTCTAAAATACGTACTCTTCTGACGACCGAGGAATTGTTGTTTTTGTTGAGCCCATTGCTTCTCTATGAACTCCTTCTGCTGTTCGGTCAATCCCTGAAACATCGGACAAAATGGCATGCTAGGATTGTCACATTGTCACACGGGGGCACTCGTCTTTCTCCGGGACTTTCTTTTTCGATACATTGCCATTCCCATGGCCAGCGAAAGAAATTAGGGGTCCTATATTATTTCCTGGAATTTCCTATGGGGTTCAAATCGCTGACATCCAGGGATCAAAACATCCATTAACTCGATGCTTGTTAATCATCTTATGGGCACAAATTGGGGCACTCTTGTTACGTGAACTTTCAGTTCTGACTGAAATTTGGGTTGTGACAATTCTCTGAAACGTGCAATGTATCTACTGATGTGTTATATTTCTGAATCAGGTAATGTTTCATATGTCCCACATATGTGCAGGGTCCCGCATGTGTGCAGAATCCCACGCAAGTTGATCGACAAAAAATATAAAAAAGAAATTCATTACACGAAAATTAAATTAGATCAAGTATTGTACATGAAAAGGATTAAAAAAATCCATTAACGTTTCTGGGTCAAAAATTGATTAAACTGTAACCTTGATACTCCATACTTGTGTAAATACAAAAATTACGGTGTGTTATCGTACGTAATTTAAAAATTCTCCAAAATATTCCGAAGATGTGTTGGAAGAGATCAGTACTCCATTAGAGCCACTGCGAATATTACATGATTTATGTACGCCACGGGGTTCGTAGTAAATTCTGGACTATTCGTGAGCCTCGTGTTCGCGTTTATTTCGCTGATATAAATTACGAGGGGATAATGAATGTATCGCTATTAATGTCGGGACAAGGGTACGTGTGCGTTGCGAAACGGAACAACACGAGCATAGCAACACTTTCTACGGTATCTGGTGTTTTCTACATCGATTATTTAGTAAATGGAGATTGAACACGAATTAGGTGCACGATCGTTTCGATCTTGTGGGGGTCAGGGATTCAACCAACAACGCAAGCAACAGGGGTCGGTACACTGACAGATTTCTCGATAGGACTCACTTTTGGTGCGCTTCATGAACTGTTCTGATTTCTGTTTCCACAGTTTCTCGTTGTACTCCGCGAGAAGCGTGTCATAACCCTGCGATTCAATCATTCTTCACTAATTACTCTTTCTATTATCATCTAACCAGCTACTACTAAACATTTTTAACTAATCTACATTCTTCAAAAAGAGTCCATTGTTTCTTTGATTCGTTGACTCGAGGGGATAACAGGTCATTCGATCAATGAAACGTATCTGGTCATTCGGAAAATTCGCTGCGTTAACTCCCGCGAGAAATTATTACATTGCAGCTCAATGTGTAAACACGTTTTCAAAATAACAATAAAATTCTACGTGAAATTCCGTGCAAAATCTACGTTAAAATTCGTGCTAAATCTCTGAACAGCATATAAATTTTTCGAATAACAAAATACGTTTCAGAATCAGTCGAATATTCGACTGATCGAATCTGCAAAGAATTACTTACACCCTCGAACAGCTTCTTCTTATCGTCGTAAGACCTGGTATCGACACGACGTTCGTATTTGGAGGCGACTTGGATCTTAGGCTACAAAGGAGAAAAATAATTGTATGATACTCGGAATAAATCCGCTGCAATAATTTCCATTTTACTATGTCGAGACGATGCTTACGGGGTACTTGCCGGTGAGAGCTTCAGGATCGAGACCCTTCTTCAAGGCCTTGTGCCTCAATTGTTGCTTCTGACGTTCCTTTAATTCTTTAAGCTACAATGGAAACAGATTTTTTTATGGAACAACTTTTATCGTTGTTAACATATTTTCTTGTCGGTGAAATTGTACACATAATATTATAATTAAGTCTTTCACTTTTCAAGTATACTGTATTTTATTCTATAAACTGTGTACTATACTTTATAATTTGCAGTGTCGACAATATCCTCTAATAATAATTGTTAACACTTTCAAACCCAACAGTGTAATATTACGCATTTCTAGGAAGCCGCCATATTTGTTTCGGATCGAACGCGTTACAAGACTAAAATAATCTAATCGTTCTAAATATTTTAATGTTGCAGTATAAAAGTGTAGAAAATATAATTGTAGAAAAAGAAGTATACCATTAGAAAAATAATAAAGTATTAAAGTTAAATAACTTGAGAATACTAACGTCATAATCCTGGCGTTTCTGTCGCTCCTCAAGATCGTATTTTTCAGTTTCCAGCTTAACTATGGTGTCCCAGAGTTCATTGGCCTTGGACCGGAGCTTTTCAATGGACAAACCTTCGATTTCCAGGGGTTTGATACGAATGCTCAACGAGATTTTCTTCTCCTCTTCGAGCTGCTCTTTCGTCTTGTTACGCTCCAGTTGCGCCGACGTAAGGTTACCCTGTTACGGATGAAAAAAACGTATTAACGTCAAGAAAATAATGTTATAACTTTTTATACAAGCTCTTTGCTTCGTTAACGTCGGATACAAACTGCTAGATCTTTCCTGGTGATGGTAAAGTTGGGGCCCTTCTTGCTTTGATCCTTCATTGCTTGCATCATTGCCTGACGTTTCTTTTCTGATTCTTCCAGACGCCTGGATAGAAGAAATTCATTAAAATCTGTCTTTTACGTGCATATTCAACCGTATAAATAAATGTGTACGTACTTTCTTTTTTCTTCGATATCGCGCTGTTTCTTCTCCTCTGTAAATTGGAAGAAATGAGATCATTAAAAATATAATTAATTGTTTCATAACAAATCGTTGAATGTACATAATGGAACATTTTTTAGTATACACTTAATTTTTTCTGCTATCTCTGGTTATTGTCCCTGGATATTTAAGTGAAACCAGAAAGGTTCTTAACGTGTATAAAATCAAGGAAATAAAAACGTGAAATTTTAAGGGAATTGAGATCCCTTTGAGATATTAAGGGAAATTTAAACTGTATCCGAGGATTAGAAAGGACTCACCGATTTCACGTTGGCGACGTTCCTCCTCTTCCTTCTTTTTCTGGGCCAATCTCTTCTCTTCGTCCGCGCGAGTGATCTTGCGCTTCGCTTGCTTCTCCTGCAAACGACAAGTACAATGGAAACTCAAGCAAGCTCGCTGGATCTATGCATGAGAAGTATAACAAAAGAAATCCTATGCTTTATAGGATACAATATGGACCTTCAATCTCTTCAGTTCCTCCTCCTCCTTGGCTCTCTGCTTTCGCCATTCTGCAATGTATTCCTTCAGTTGCTCGTCTAAGTCGCTTCTCTTCTGTTCCTGCCTCTGTGCACCGAAAACGGTTTAATATAAAATACTCGTCGCCAGAAAGGGTAATCTCTGTAAACTATAATCTGCGGATATTTAAATAATTATAGCAAACTTATACAATGGTACCAATTTTTAATACACATTGTGTAGAAAAAAATAAAATAACATGAAGAACATAACTCTTAATCAATGAGGTACCATTTTAAACGTTTACCTTGATAATTACACATCTACACATCGTGTAGGAAAATATAAAATAACGTCAAGAACATAATTCTTAATCAATGAGGTACCATTTTAAACGTTTACCTTAATAATTAAAGCTTCTACCTCCACTTTGAAAATTAAAATTTCTGACAGAAGTATCAAAGTCGACAGCGTCCATTTTGTGTGCATTTTCATTTCAAAAGTGTTTAAATATCCGCAGATAGTATAATTATCGAGACTCTTACCTTCATAAACTCGATATTCTCCCCAGACTCCCTGATGTAGACCGGAACGAAAACAAAAGTAACTCTCTTTAGTTCCTGTCGCTCGTCCTCTGAGAGATCTCGCAAGATCTTCCAGAATCTCCGTACATCGCCACTCTCACGTTCGACTTTTCAATTATTTATTACACCCCATCCATTCTCTCTCGTGGCGAATAAATTCTCGACTGCATTTTGCTTTGTGTTTCGTTTAGTTTGCTTTCGTCGCACGCAAACAACCAGACAGACAGACGCATACGCAAACAGACAGACGGACGGACGGACAGAACAGAAAATGTATTAGGTTGTCCGGGAAATCTTGCGAGTTCTTCCCGAGAGATAAACAAATTACCGTGGAAAATTCTCTGCTATTTTGTGGATATAAAGACAGTTAGCAAGATGTTTATTGTGGACGTTGAAAATAAATGCAAATTGCTCGCAAGACTTTCTGGACAATCCAATATGAAGCTTGTGGAAAGAAGATTAGACGCGTGTGAGAAGAAAGTGGAGATTGGGAGATGGAAAATTAGGTTGAGTGAATTTGGAATAATTGGATAAAATATTAAAGAAGGTTTTCAATTATATTAAGTTGAATGCTGCAAACTGTACAGGTGACAAATTTCCAATTTTCGGTATGATTTAATAATGGTTACAGTAGACTTTCATATTGTCACGCATAGACTTTCTGAAATTAGACTCAGAAATTATATTATTATATCACCACATGACTATGTATCGTGTCACTGACTTTAAGAACCTTGAATTGCGTTTGCATCAGGCGACAATATAAACGTGACATATTATAGTAGTAACACTTGAAAATGTCATACTAATATGCTAATTCTAATATGAATCTGTCACCGAAGTCCAGCATCTTAAATAATAAAAGAGCTTTGAGTATCACATCATTAACTTCAACATATTGAAAAAATGAAATAAAACAATAAATAACCGATTACAGTAATTCGAATAGGAAGCAAGGAATCTATTATGTCAGCAATTTGGAGGCGCTTCAAAATTCGAGATATTCTAAGGTGTGTATCGGGTTACATAATGTGGATCCGATCCAGGATAACTTTAAAATAAGGGAAGGATCTCTAATTTTAAAGATGAGTAATGGAAAATAGACCGGACTGGATCCCAAGGACAGTTTAGTCTTTAGCTGGAAATGGAAGCCGTTCGAGAACAAGCGATCAAGCGTTTGTACAGAAAGCGATTCAGCAGGTCCGAAGAGAAAATTTCATGGATTCGAACAGCGTACGAGAACAAGAATATTATGACTAAGAATTGTTCAAAGAAAGGAACTACTTTTTAAATTCGTACAAGAAATGTTAAATAACGATGTTTATAATTATTAATTAAGAGCGAACTCGAGATACATCATTATTCCGGTAATGACCTCTAAATCAAAGGAGTCTCGTTCCTTTCGACGTAACCGAGATGATAAAGGATAATTGGGACAGAACTGGAGATCTACCACTCACTCTTCTTCTCGTCAGACATTTTCTTCTTCTTTCCCCACTCAGAATGCAAGCGAACGCGCGCAGTCGCCGGTCGTTATCAGCGTGATCGCTGTCGCCATTCATTATTATCAATTATTATCCACAACGCGGTAAGAAAAATGAAAGCCACAGTCGTAAGCCAAGTAGCTGGCCAATTTACATAAAGAACGAGCTTCCGACGATCTCTTCGTCATCGTTTACGTCGGTCACTGAATCTTCGATTGCCCTTCGATTATACAAAACAATAATCGAATTTAAACGAGTTTCTTGCGCCAATATTCGTTGCAACAACAAGGTGGCCCAGGGAAGAAATTTGAGAATGATACCGACCGAGTGGGCCACTTTCCAATATTCGCTCTTCAACAATTTCGTCTATATCTCCTTGCAATATCGTAAACAAGGTTTAACAACGTTGGCAAGGTAATGGTTGGCAGGTGTACAACTACATTATGAAACGAACCCACGAATTATGCGAAACCGAGACACCTGGGACAACCGCTCACTGTGTGACTGCACGAAAATTCAGTGACCCTCACATTGGCGTAACTAGGACTCGTTTGGGCTGGACACCATTGTCCTGACAATGTTGTGTTGTTGGACTTTCGGGTATTTGGTATTTGGAAGATTTTGGAATTTGAGGATTCGAGATTGAGAATTTGGGGATTTGTGGATTGAGGAATGTAAGTTTGGGAATTTAGAGATTTGTGGATTGAGGAATGTAAGTTTGAGAATTTGGGGATTTGTGGATTGAGGATTGTGAGCTTGGGAATTTGGGGATTGTGAGATTGGAAGTTTTTTAATTTGGATATATGAGAAGATAAGAGGTTAAGAATTGAGAAATTAAAAATCTTGAAATTTGGGGATTGGGTGTTTGAGAAGTTAATTTGGGAATTTAGAAATTGGGAGAGTGGAAATTTGGAAATTTAGGAATTCGGAATTTTAGGAATTGGAGAGATGGAAATTTGCAAACTTGAAAATTGGAGAGATGGTGATTTGGAAGCTTGAAAATTGGGGAGATGGTAATTTGGAAGCTTGAAAATTGGGGAGATGGTAATTCGGAAGCTTGAAAATTGGGGAGATGGTAATTTGGAAGCTTGAAAATTGGGGAGATGGTAATTCGGAAGCTTGAAAATTGGGGAGATGGTAATTTGGAAGCTTGAAAATTGGGGAGATGGTAATTTGTAACCTTGAGAATTGGAGAGATGGAAATTTGAAAGCTTGAGAATTGGGGAGATGGAAATTTGGAAGCTTGAAAATTGGGGAAATGGTAATTTGGAACCTTGAGAATTGGGGAAATGGTAATTTGGAACCTTGAGAATTGGGGAAATGGTAATTTGGAACCTTGAGAATTGGGGAAATGGTAATTTGGAACCTTGAGAATTGGGGAAATGGTAATTTGGAACCTTGAGAATTGGGGAAATGGTAATTTGGAACCTTGAGAATTGGGGAAATGGTAATTTGGAACCTTGAGAATTGGGGAGATGGAAATTTGGAAGCTTGAGAATTGGGGAGATGGTAATTTGGAACCTTGAGAATTGGGGAGCTTGTAATTTGGAACCTTGAGAATTGGAGAAATGGAAATTTGAAAACTTGGGAATTTCAGGACCTGAAATTAGAAAATTTGTAAATATAGAATTAGGAAAATGTGAAAATAGTATCTCTGGACATTTCGCTTTAAAAAGTTCAAAACTGTAATCTTTACAAAATTGCTATGTCACTTTTTTAATATTCTGTCACCCAGTTACGCCAATGTACCCTTACAAATAACGCATTGGCCGATCTTTCTGCGACAGTTGCTGCGGGTCGATAGATTATGGCGTAAGATCAACATTGTGTTTAACAAGTAAAGGGAGTACAACTGAAGGGGGTAGTTGAGCACCAAAAATGGTAATAAACAGAACAAAAGGAAAAACGATTCCCGGACACGCAGGAACAAAACAAAAAATATATAACACGACACCAAATATAATATAGTTGGTCTGAACAGTGAGGTGAACGAAAAACTGATTGAAAACTTGACATATCAACACGTATGTATGTATACACATGGGTGTACGTGTTTTGGACACACGGAATTATGTACAGAGCCGTTAATTCGTGATTAATCAAATATAGAGAAACAGAAAAGGGGGTAAAAAACATGAAACAGAGACAGAGATAGAGATAGATAGAGAAACATGAGCTTTGGGGGGTGAAATGGGCTTTGAGCTTCGAGCACTGATCACCAATTATTAGATTCTTCTTGACGGGATCGAGACTTTTTTGTTACGTGTAATATTCAATTAGGTACGAAATACTATTTGTTTTAACGTTGATGACATAAGGCAACAAACAATTCCATTGGAAACAGAATATTACAAAATATAAAACATTTATCTAGTTACTAGAGTACTACACAATATTCCTAGGACATATTCGTTAGTATACACAATTTAACACTATATAATTTTGACCAATATATTTGTTTCTATAGAAAAATTTAATAGACTTTGGACATAAAACTCACAGATGTCTTTTTATAGAAAAATGTATTTATGTTAGATGGAAATAAATTTAACAAAATGGAAGAATTATTTTCTTAACTGATCATCCCGTAATTTATCTTTAAACAAAAATAACAAAACATGCACAAAATAAAACTAATTTCACTAATAATAGTAGTCCATTAAAATAAAAAATTAAAAATGAAACCACCTGTGTACATTATTACTATCCTTCATAACCTCAGTAATTTTTTCTAAATTATTTTCGATTAGTTTCAACAAGTAAAACTCCACATATTTTGTCCTAAAATCCCAAGATATTCAATTCTAACTAGTTACAGAACACAACACCAGGAATTACATAGGAAACAAATGAAACGAAAGAGAACTTTGAATGAGTAAGAAGGGTAGAGAAGATACACTCTTTCGTAAAGTTAAAACCTTCCCTCGGATTTTCAAAAATATTCTCATCTTCCATTTCCCTAAATCGTTAAGTGCAAACGAGTTCGTAACTTTCAAAAACTCGATGAAATAATGGTAGTAAAGTTTAAATGACTGGAGATCCCCATAATCCTAGCAAGGGTTGAAAAAGTTTCTTCATCTGGAATCAAAGAGCGGACTGTCCCCGGAGTGTCCAACTTTCCAAACTCCCGTCGGAAAAACTACGAATAATTACCCTGAATCACGTGTTCATAGTTGAACAGCCTGACGTCAAACGAACACCGCGACAGACAATGATCGTGTTTTTCCATCGAACTTAATTAGATTGCGTCAGTTTCGTGAACTCGGTACACTTGAAACGAACACCTCAGGTATAAGAATAAACCGCATTACGTTATCGTACACATATTTATGAAACATTTGGCAATCGTCCAGCAGACGCGGGTTATATTAGTTGCCGCGCCTCTTATGCAACCCTTATGCATAATACGGTCAAAAGCCTTAAAACTTTTCGTCTAAACAACCTTGTGTTGTTCATAAATATTCGAGTGATCGTGTCACGATTAACCTCGCTTTAAGGTGCGTTTAAA